TTTCTAGCACCATCTAGAGGACCACAGCTGTATAGCTCTTATCAGGACCCAAATACATTTTTAAAAACATCTACAAGCTGCAGTTACTTCTTTGGACTATTTAATTTCTCTGTCTGCTATTATGAGCCTTTTCCTTCTTGGGGAATCCATGTTAGTGGAATCTCACCTTCAACCTGCCTTAGTAGCCAGCCAGGAATCAGCAATGCAGGCTTTAAGGAGACATTCCCTGTGTTGATGTCTTGATAGTATGGAGGGTAGTGGTAGACAAAGGCAGCGGGAAGCATTTTGAAGTGAAATAGAGCAGTCCATCATTAGAAGTAGGCAAAGACTTCGGGGCAGTAGTCTCAGGTGACCCAATATCCTGAATTGCTGCCCTGAGGAGTTCACGGCCTCTTTGGTATGCCTAAGTGCACATTGGTTTGTGTTCACTAGAGAGGTAAGGTGAGTTACACCACAAGTCCCATCCACTCCAAAAACCCTGTAAATGGAACATGGTGCTGCTTTTAGCTCAAACTGGATGACCCCTCATGGGGAGCAAATAGGCCTGTGCGAAGCGGCTAGTATTTGCTTCGGATTCGGCCGATTCAGGGCACACTGATTCGATTCGGTGATTTGAATCACTGTCCCGAATTGATTTGGCTGAATCCGATTTGGAGATTTGGCCGCTGCTGAATCTCCGAATTACCCAGGCCAGGCCCATCCCCCACCCACTTTCCCAGGCAGCAATGGCTGCTCCGCCTGCCCCAGCTCCCGGCACTGAGAAAAAAAAAGGTCCGGGCTCACCAGGTGCTGCCGGGTGGGGGCAATCCCCACTGTCCCCCACTACCCCATGCTGCATGAGGGGCTCTGCACAAGCCCCCCACTCCCTTAGCCTCCCCCCCCCCCCCAATGGCTGCCCTGCCTGCTGTGGTTCTGGCCATTTAAGAAAAAAAAAGCAAAAAACCCCAGGACTCACCGCTCGATTTCAGCTCTACGGATCTTCCTTTGACCCCTGGCAACGTGATTTTTATACATCCTCTTCTGTACCTGATTTGCAAGGGTGAATCTAGGCTTTAATCCTAGAGGTCTCCACTTCAATACCTGAGCTATCAGCCAAAATAATGGCACTTGCCTGAGGAGGCCACCATTCCAGTCATTAGTTGTGTTTCTGATGTTCTCAACAACATCTCTGCTTCAGGGGGAGATATGCCTCAACACACTGTTATGTACTAAGACAATAGAAACTTGAATCCAATTCCAAATTCAGAGTCTTCAGCCCATCCTTCAAGAGTGTTTTCTAAAAAAGTGTCTGACAAAGCAGCTGGGCCTTTACCGAAAGGCATAGTTCAGAGTTGTACTCTGGTATAGCACTACTGTGCTCTAACTTGCAAGTCTGTTCAAGCCTCCTGTTGCCTTAGATAAAATACATACTAGGAAGGGAATGGCACTTCCAGTCAGTACCGGCTACCTCTCTGAGAGTGCATGCTCTTCATGAAGAATTCCTATTTGTGCTGTCCGCTTGAATTGTTGCATGCTACAAAAAGAAGCAAGTTAAAGGGAGCATGGGAGAGGCAAGACTAGGTAGTAGTGCACAACAATTACTTGAGGAATTTCTAAAGCGGGCCTGGCCTTCAACAGCTTAGTTAAATACTTAGTCCAGGAGAACAAATTGAAAAGAGTAACCATAAATAGGCAGCAGCCATTGAGAGCCACTCAGCTGTTCCCTGCACATTGTGATTGTGATCTGCCCTCAGATGCATGGGAGTTAAAACGATGCAACTAGGGCTAGGTCGAAAGTAGCCATGTGTTTGCAAGCACTTATGTGACAAGGCATGCACACTGCAGGTGTGCACCCTGAAAACTGGAAATACCAAACACAAGGGCTTTTTTCCATAATGATTAACAGAAACAGAGCACTGCAAGGCTGTTTGCATTGGTTGTGCTCTGGATAGTCTGCAGTGAGGGTTGTCATAAGACATTGTTTGAAACCTCTGGCTGATGTAATTATTCCTTTTACCAGGAGTGAGGTTCCCATTTCCTCCTGTGTGCTTCTCTTGTGCATTCATTTACTGACACAATGATGCCCACGATGTTTCTAACTGCTGTACAGTTTAGCCCTAGGGGAACTTAGGGAGGTGCCAGGCCAAGCATCAGCTGCCCTGCCTGCCCATGCTACATTGTGAGCCCTGAGGTCTGAAGAACTTTGGCATGATTCAAGCCTCATTAACAGGCACAAACCTTGACCCAAGGCAAGGTTTCCCTGCAGGGGCACACAATCTAGAACAGGTCTTCCATTTCCTGCTGGGCAGTGCTAATCTCAAGATAACAGAAACCTGTGAAGCCGTGATAACATTATCTTTGTGAGGTTTTATTTTTCACTTTGTCCTCAAAATGCTAACTCGCAGGATGTTTAATTATTCAAATATTGAAAGGATTATCTATCTCTGACTCTGGTTATAAACAATTTACCACTGAATAGTTTTTCCTTTTTTTTATTATTCCCTCCTCCCAAAATTAATTTACATACCAGCTTTGATTTTAACAGGCTTAATCATTCTGAGCTAAATATTGTGAGTAATCAATCAAAGCAGTGGAACCAATTTTGTAACCGTCACTTTTGATTTTTCCAGTACAAAATGAGCATTTTACTCATTGGGCTGGTGTGATTCAGGCTCTTAAAACCTTTGCTCAATTGCATCAGTACTTTGGAGACATCCCTAAAAATCTGAGGAGCTGGCACAATTTGGGAGAAACAACAGATTGATTTTTTTTAAAGGTTAAAGAAACTGTTGTTCTTTAAGAATCTTCAGACAAGTCTCCCCAAAACTGGACCTTTTTCCTTCTTTCTCTTTCCAATTAGCTAAAACGCATTAGTAATCCCATGTTCTACAAAAGCCACATGTTAAGTGTAAAAGCTAGCATGTTACTGAGACTTCGGCAGATTAAATGTTCTGTTAATAGAGACCCAAAGAACTGATCTCACAACTTGCTGCTGGAAGGTAGACACTCACACAGCCTCAGAGCTGTTAGGAAAAATCTGCTGCCGCCGCTCACTGTTTGACTTGCAAGCTAACTACAGAACTGTTTATTTGTTGCAAGGAGCAGTGTGATTTCTCTGTGTATAAGAAGGCTGGAGAGTATCATGCTGGTGAAGAAAATAGTTTATGAACTATACCAGAGATTGCTGCTGTTGTTCAAGTATATATGCATGCTGCATTTTCCCTCTGCAAGCGTGGAGGACTCCAAGAATGTTAAACTGGGTTATACAAAAAACTAGAATTTTTGGTTCCAAAATGATACCTTTTGTTAGACCAACTGGAAAATGGCAAGAAAGCTGGGTTAGAAGATCATTTGCATTCTGGATGATAAGTGAATTTCTTAGTCTTATGAAGCAAATGGGAATTTTGCCACTCATTTCACAGGGGCCAGGATTTCACCCCTGGAGGCATTCCTCCTCTTCTCTTCCTCACTGCAGGGTGTGTCAATAGTGGCATATAAGCAGAAACTACAGTTTGGAAGAAAAAACCACCAAGCAGGCAAGCACAAAGCATGACGATGAATCCCTGCTCATTGCACCCATCTGTGTCTGTGAGCAAAGCCAGTAACATTGAACTGGGCTTGCATTTGCCCTTCCACCACTCTGGCTATGTATAGAGCCCTTCATTATAAATGAAAATGAGTTCCATAACAGTAAATTCAAGGCTGGGTCTTGTTCATGGTAGTTGGACACAAGTGTAACCTCACATTGAGATAATGCAGCTTCCTGTGGTTAGAACAGGAAATAACTTGTCATTCACTGGTAGCTACTGATAAATATGGGCTTTTTAACAGGAACTATTATACTTCATTATTGTAATAACCAGTGGTCTCTTGGCTGGCATGTCCATGATGAGAAGTAGATGATGGCTCTCAGAGCGTTACACTTGTTCTTCACTGTTGTTTGCACTTGGGTGATCATATAAATCTGATGCAGCAAAGTATATAATTAGCTTTGAGACTAAGAATCCCAGCAAGAAAGGACTAAGGTGTCAATCAATATCTGCTTGCTTTAGTTACACCAGCATACCACCTCATTGCAATTCCTTGCTCCCATATCTCAGTGTATTGTGTTTTTTCTACAGAATGGATTCAATGTGAAATTCCTGGACAGCGAGTGAGCTGCTTGGTGTTTTTTAGAAGTGAGGGGTGAAACCTAAGGCCCAGTGAATTTCTGGTTTCGCACGATGGTTTGAAAATGCCACTTCTGCTAAAAAGTCCCATTTCCCCATTCTGTGCTCTCTTACTTTTGTGATTTCTCTCACCTTGAATAATCAACAGGAGCGAAGTTAGTTTCTTTTTGGTGGAGGATCAGCCTCACTTAAAAGTTTTCTGCTCTGGATCATTTGCTGGTTTGCAAACACTTCTATTAGATGCCCTAGCCCAGTGTTTCTCAGCCTTTTCAGGTTGGAAACTCCTTATTTGATGTCAAACCTTTCCAGTGTCCCTTCAAAGGAAGAGTCGAATCCGTATCATGGATATGGCTGCATTATTTGGATGGGTCTTCCAGGTTGGCAGAGTATATTCCACCTTTAGGGGCAAGGGAGTGTGGAGAGTGGGATGTTCTTTTCTTTAGCTAAAATTCTTAATACTTTTTGCCCCCCCCACATTATCTTTCACGACACTCCCCTCTTCTTGGAGGTCATGATATGTCAGTTGAGAAACTTGATTGAAACTCATAGTGATAGAAATATTTCTATAGGATGCAAAAGCTTTTCATAAAAAAAATACATTTGGAGCCTGATCTGAGTGTAGACATGAGGTTGCACTGACCACAGACAAGTTAGTCCTCCCCTTATCCTAATATTAATTTTATCTTGGGCTGCCCGACATACAGCTGTGTTATTCTGTTTACCTTAAATGTTCTTGATGCCATACAAGAGCACAATTTGCTCCACGATTGGTAAAATTATCACAATTCCTAAAACATTTTAGACAGCAGTAGTCATAGCTCAAAGGTTTCTGACACATTATATTTAGTTACATTTTCAGTTGATTAATACATATTTATTTACCAAATAGTCATAGACAGAGAAAAAAAGCAGTCATTAGCAGAAACAGGAATACAAAACTGTCAATTCAAAAGCCTTCACAGAAGGAATATTCACAGTGTTCACAATTTTATCAGTCTAAAGGAGAGAAGTACAGAGATTTAGATTTACAGCAACTCTTGTACAATATCTGAAATACAAATATTATGGAAGCTCTTGTTTTGTCAATTAGATCAGGTACAAGAAACTTAAGCGACTGTTTCTTGATCTGTGACTTTAAACACGATCTCATTTCCCACATCTCAGGATAGAGCCAGGCAAGTAAGAATTAGTCACAACATCTACAGTATTTTACAAAACAGTACTGGTAGGTTAAAATGGACTGACCACAACTTCTTGAAAATACAAAAGAAAAGCAAGCAAAAGAAAGGCCATTGCAAACAGTCATGAGCTGGCAGTGCAGGGCTAATTCTGATCTAATTTACATAGGTTTTACATTGTGAAACTTCATTTGTTGCAGCAGAGTTAACACTCCTGTTTTAGGCCTCAATTTTGCTAGGTTCTCATTTCCACCGAGCTCAGTCTGGGCATGAGGCACCTCTCCTTCTGATTAGCTACCAGGTTTGACAGTGCTGTAAAGTCAGAATCAGGGCTGGTGACTAGTCCAGCATGTGCTGCATTAACTCTATCATGTAGCTCTGCACAGGCTCTTGCTCTGCTCTGATCAGACAACAGTGTGCACTTTAGGCCTGATCCTAGGATGGTGTGAAATGGTGAGACTCCACTGAGGTTGATGGAGCTCTGCCAATTTAAATCAGCCAAGGACTTGACTCTGGCCAGCAAGGAAAATACAACAAAATTAATTAATTTGAAGTTTCATCCAAACTTGTTTTTGTTTGGCCTATCTGGGTCACCATATGCTTTAAAATATACATGCTATTGTAATAACTACACAACTGCATATACCGCCCCCTTCCTATTACAATACCAAAGTCATGCCAGCTTTGATTGTTTCAGACATGTCTTCTTGAAAGGACAATAACTCAACCATTGGAATAAAGAGACAATAAAATACTACCCAACCGTGAGGTCTTTGCTTAAGCAAACTCCTACTGACATCAATGGGACAAGGTAAGGAAGGCAGCAAGATCAGGGTCTAAAATGTGAATGAAGTTAATATAAAAAAATTGACAAGTGCCTTGAAAGCTGCTAAAGGAAACACACAGATCGGCAGCTCCTACTCTGGTGCCAACACACTAAAACACTCACCAACCCTTCCCACAGTCACTCATACCATTCCCTACCAACCCTCCTGAGTCAGATGCCAAGAGTTCATGCACATTTGTTCCAACTTAAGAGCCCCTCCTGTTTGTACTTGCTCTTGCATTTCACCTTGTTCCTCCAGCCACCCCGCTTCATAACCTTTATATGCTATTAAAGGGCTGGCAGAATAGCTCCAGATACACCAGAGAACTCTTCCAGTGTAACGTACTTTTGCTGGCAGAGCTGATGCCAGTTCCCTGAACACAACAAGCCCTAATGGCAAAAGCACCATTATGCTGGAATATCTGTATCTACATTGGGGCATTTACTGATACGAAAATGTCATAAAAATCTGCCCCTGTTAGACCAACATTTTTAAACAACGGTTTCTAAGCTTGGCCTTAGCTGAAGTGTTACTGGGGTCCCTTCTCAACTTTTTACACTGGTGTAAAAAAGAGGGACTGTTGAGTAACAACAGTCAAATCCTTCCCAAGCACTAGGGGGTTGGACCCGATGATCTTCCAAGGTCCCTTCTGGCTTTACAATCTATGAATCTAGGGACCCTGCTTCGATGACAGCCCATGGAAACTCCTTTAGTGGAAACAGGAGTCTGCCCTGACATGTGCTGTGTGATTTGTTTTGCCCATGAGCACACCTGGGCAAATCCAAAAGCTAAACCCAGTTCTCTCATACGACAGTGGAGGGCTGTTGTTTGTACAAATTATTTTAATGATAAAATGCTTGAAAAAATTATGAAAATTATTAATTCAGGTTTTTTTTAACCATGCACTGTTTTCTATCCTAAGCAAGTCTAATCCAGACTCTCTATATCAAACTCTATATTAAAACACCCCGTTATTTAAAAATATATAAACACATGGTAAGGAGCAATAGTGATGCCTCATACTGGTACCTGCTTAGGAATACCCACCATTAACAAACTACCCATGCAGGTTGAGTAGTGGAATATAAAGTCTGAGCATGGAAGAAATTTCTCTTTTTTCTTACAATTTTTACAAACTAAAAGCCACGAAAACCAGGTTGCATGTTTCAAGATCTGCTAGCACTTAAAAATGACATCGCTGCTTGTAAAACAGTATATTTGCAAGTGTGTTATAAGAAAAGGGAAAGCCACAGATGTCTGAAGGACTAGACAGTAGTGATTGTTTATGTGCAGTGATGACTCCTTTTAAGGTGCTGAACATCACCCACATTGTGGCTTCATACTGTGCAGAAGAAAAGTCCAGTTATCAGACAGTCACAAAAAGGCCTTTTATGATTGCTGCAACTGTGAACAAGTAATGGATGTAGAGAACAATAACGTTTGCAGGTCCTACAGAGCAGAATACACTCTCTTTTGAATATTAGGGAGCTGCATACTATTGGGTGACCCAGTAAGGTTGTCTGTTCAAAGTGTGGGGACCCCTGCCTTCAAGAAGAGCCTTACTGTGGGCATGGGGGTTTGTCTGTGCTGAGCACCTTGCTAAATGGGAGCATGAGGCAGTAAGAGGCCAGAGTCATATTTGCATGACCCAGCTGAAACACTGCTGGGTTGCAAGAGGCATCAAACCCCAGTGAATGCAAATGGCAGTTTTCTGTCTGGACTTCCTTCTTCTTTTTAAGATCACTGCTATCACTGTGCCTTTATTCAGAAAGGAAAATAACTTTGGGAGATGTCATAAAATTAGACGAAAGATTATGATCTGCTTGGCTACCCTGGGGTGTGGGTCACCACAATCTTGGGGGTTTGGCCTTTTTCAAGAATGACTTTCTATATGTGTGGTTTAATATGATTGTTTGACAGGCTACAATTGCTTTACTTTAAAAATTTTGCTCAACGTAAAAGTGCCTAAAAATGCTGGAAGAAATCAAAAGCTCTGGGCCACCGCTAAACTGAAACGTGATGGGTACGGCTGTACAGCTCAAAGCAGCGCAGTGCTGAGACCTGCCACACCTATTCTGCATATGCTAGCTTCAGTAAACTCTGTCTCTTCACAGAGCCTGAGCGCAGTGCTACAGTAATTCAGCTACATGACTTCTAGGTTATGAGCGGGCAGTGTTTCTCAGAACAGCGCTCCTTCTGGCCTGCCGCCGCATCCCGAGATACTTTTGTTTTGCTTGCAATGCAAGTCATCTGCTCTTGCACTGTGTTGGCACAGGAAATGGTGAGGGAGGCCTGGCTCTTGCATGGTATGGCAGAGATTATAAATAACAGCACTCTCAAATTTTGATGGAATCTAGCTATCTACAAGCTGCAGGTAAAAATAACATACTCCTATGGACCCATTACAGATTTTGTTTTAATAAAGTGCTGTACCTGCACTTCTGACGGATTAAGCAGACTGCCAGCTCACTGAATATAAAGAATGAGCGTGATTCCCAATATTACCACTAATTAATTGCATCTATAAAATATGAACATGAAATAATAGAAACTGTAGCAACTAGCTGAAACTTCCATTGCCCTTGAGGAATGTTAGTGTTTGCAACTTATTAAGGTGATGTAGTGTGCAAAATTACTCTATGCCTAATTACATTTCTTAAGATATATAATGCAATCGGCTTAAATGTAGGACATGGTGCCAACTGCGTCTGAGGTGGATCTGTCAAATGGTGCCACAAGTTTATCTAGAACTAAAAAACAGTAAGACTACATTAGAACCTGTCAACATTCAAAGAAGACAAATAACAGTATGGATGCTTTACCAAAGGGAACCATAGTAATGGACATATGTGATGTCTTTTGAGTAAAGACAGGGAAGGATTTTATAGGACTAGAATTAAAGGTTATGCTTGGACCCTGACGGAATAAGCACACTTCCACTGACTGAAAAATTGTGTCTTCAGAGGGCAGGTCTACATGTGAAATTAAGGTGGAGCAATAAACTCCGGCACAGTTTGTGGGGGCCTGACATGGCCCAACATGCTGCAGAGGGGCTGGCTAGGGCACATAGGTGAGATACCTACCTACTGACATGTGGGTGCATATGCATGTGCGTGCATGTGCACCCCCTGAGATTGGTGGTGGACCCCCTGACAGAACGGCTGCCGCTCACTACCCCCCATCCTCACTGCCAACGCTGCCAGCGGCATCTGCAGGTAGTTCCCAATAGCCATTGGCCACTGCCAACACTACTGGTAGCATCTGTGGGTGGTTGCCAACCACCGGTCGGCACTCGCCACCCCCGACCTCCCTGCTGCCGCCACTGCCGTAGCCACCTATGGGAACTCTCTGCTCACTGCTGCCATGCCCCAACCATTGCCATTGCCGCCGCCTGTGGGCGGTTGCCGTGCCCCCCCAGCATCCGGGGACACGCGTCGTTCATAGGTGCTACAGTGGGGGGCAAGCTAGCAGGCAGCCCCCAACTGTAGCACCCTCATGCTCCAGCCAGCCCCACCAGCATCTACACATATTAGTAACACTGCTGTAGCACAGGACTTGTGTCGGGCACTACTATACTAGAGCAGAGTTAATTCGGTTACTCTGGCCTAATAGCGCCACATGTGTAGACAGTGATGCTTTACTGCGGAGCTAGTTAGTCAGCTTCGCAATAAAACATCTCATGTAGACGTGCCCAGGGAGGTCAGTTTTAACCTCTCCTCCCAGAAGACTCCAGGATTTGGCATGTCTTATGATAGGTACTAATGCTTACAGTAAAATTGAAAGCAAAAGAAAAGTTTAACTATGCCAAATGAGTCTTAGAATGTACTTGAGATAACATGGAATCATTCTTCTGCATGGCTGAGACAGCTAATTACCATGATGATTATGGACCTACCCAAATCGAAGTGACAGATGGACAATTTCACAGGTTGATTGTGGTGCCGGGTGCCATTTTTGCAGACTTATTGTGGCAGGGTCCCCCCACACTTCTTATTGGCTGAGGGGCCCCAGTGGCCCTGCCCCTCGCTGCAGATTGGCAAATGGCCCCAAACCACAACACAGTGCTCCTCAGGCAGCAAGTTACTGAAGCAGCATGCCTTTGGCTGCTTAAAAGACGGCACCAAAACCCTGTTGTTTCCCTGACTGGCCCCAGACTGGCACCTGTACTAAGCCTACGTGACAGGCTCAGTCTCTCATTTGCTCCCTCTCACCCCCTTTTCTCCCTTTGTGCTCCAAGGCTGAAGGACTCCCTGCCCTTTTCTCTGCTTAAATTTTAGGGTTTTTTTAGTGAGCCTGCCAAAAGTGCAGAGCCTGCCGTTTTTCATGGAAAACCCCCAATTTTGCATTTTCTACAAAAAAACACGAAACTATAATTTTGGTAGGTCCCTAATGATGATCCATGGTGGAGTAGGTCCCCAAGGCAGAGTATAGATGGACATGTGATCTCAATATGAGTAACTTCTATCCACCTTGAACATGGTTCACTTGAAATTTCAGGTTTCTCTCAACAAATATTGGACACATTCACTGGAGGTTGGCTGGAGGGCAAGGAAGTAGGAGGAACGCTCCATGGATTGAATGCAGTGTTAACAGACAGCATTGTGATCTAAAAGAGGAGCCCAGTTTAGCCGGACTAGCTTTTGGGATTGTATTTTCCCTCATACATAGCACCAAGCTCTCGTTAGCTAGAAAAAGGTAGGGCTGTAAATACCTCTCTCTTTGATGCAGGCCTGATTGTCCTAGGACGTGGCTCAGAGCAGAACAGTCGTAGCAGTGATTTGCACGGTGCTCTAAGCTGCATTGCTGCTCCTCTGCCAGCGCGTGGCCAGCAAGAGCACACAGCCTGGCAGGCTTGTCTCTGGAATGACCCGCAATCACCTTACAGACGCACACCACAATGTCCCAGGTAAAAGAAGTGTTAGCACATTGTATGCCGCATACTTCAGAGGGACTCGGACTAGGGCAGTGCATGTGTAGCTGCGTAGGATCCCAGGGCAAAAGACTTTGCCCCAGGAGAAATGCTACGTCTGTTCACAGCCCAAGGTTCTGGTTAAAAAGTCAATTCTCCCTTGGGGAATAAAATGTAATAAAAACATCTTAAATGATAAGAAAAAAAAGTTTCATCCACCTAAGGTCTGTAAACCCCAAGGAACATAATTCAGGAGACTGCCAGCCCTCGGGAATTGCCAGCCCTTCAAGCTCAGCTGGGGTTGCCCATTGCTAAGATCTACATGGTGTTGCACTGTGTGCATCGGGAATGTTGACTGCTGTACCCATAGTAAAGACGTACTCCCTCAGGGTGGGGGAAAAGGCTAAAATACTGATTATGACCAGAAAACGGTCGGTCTTTTTCTGTGTAAGAAATGTAACATTTAAACTCAGCCAGCAAAGATCTTAGGAATGCCCAAAGCAGAATCAGGCAACATTTCCCATTGATTATGGAGGTGTATGCATTGTCTTGATGGAATACAAAACAGGGATGATGAAGAGGATTACTCCAGCTAGCTAATAAACTGTGTCACAAAAAATCAGAAAATACAAAGAGCCTACAACTCCTGCGTAGCCACATCACGATTATGGTACATGTCTGAGCGCACTGGTAGTAGTATTATATATTACTATTTCTTTTCCTTCATAACAAGTGGCCTGCATCTGTAAGGTGCTTAGAATATGCTAAGTAGTAACTTATTTTTAGTGGATAGAGTATATCAATCAGAGTTTCCAACTCTTTTTTTCCTCCCATGATAGTGTAATTTTGTCTGAAACTGTTCCACCAAAATCCTTATGAAAGGCACATTAGCTTGGTGGAGACCTTCTCTGCGGCCACCTCAGCAAAAAAAGCTTCTTGAAATCAGACTCTGTGCAAACTCGTCTCCAAGGAACCAGGCTTTCAACTCTAAAGCAGTCTACCTCTTCTTAAGTCCAAACCTCCATGGGCACCATGGATTCTTTTGTTCCAACAGAAGGAAGCAAGTTTTCTTCCTCCAGGAAACGAAAAGGGAATTGGACTAGAAATCCATGAATCTTTTTCAATTCTTCTGCTGCTTTCACAGGATCTTCATTTGCTAATATTGGCCTGTTGATGAAGTCACGGAGCTGGACTAAATTGTTCACCTCATCACTGGGAAGGCATCGGAAAACCTGATGAAAGTGGAAAGAAGAGGGGGCATGTAAGTGCGGAGTTCAGTACCACTACATGCACTTCATGGGGATGGGGGTGGGAAAAAAAAAAACAAGCTATCATCAAGTATAAGTGAATCAGCTACTGCAGCTGGGGGAGCCTAAAAGTTTGTGCAGAGATCAATGTGAAAGGAAGAGGCACCCAGACCACAGCTTGCATATTGAAATCTCTAGGGTATGTCCTGATTGTTGCTGGAAACTATCTAGAAAGTTTGCTTTTATTGGAGAACCTAGCTCTGTATATGGCCAAACAGAAGATTTAATTCAGACCCTGAATCTCTCACACAAGCAGGTGTAAATCAAAAGCAACCCAAAGTCAGATTGCTGCTGCTCTCGTTTACATCTCTTGGCAGCAAGGAAGCTGGAAGGCAACAGACTTAAGGAGCCATGTACTTCACCTTGTCGAAGATAGTAGCATTGCGAGCAGCTGTGGAAACCCACATCTCCTTGAAGAATCTGTCGCAAACAGGATCAAGGAGATCAACATTTTGATTTGTTGAGCAACCAAGAACAACCCTGAAAAGATAAAACAAAGATGAGTTTATGCCATTTGAAGGCAACACAGAACTGCCCATGGATGATCTCCCTGAACAGGAATGTGTTTCTCATCATCATCTTTTTCTCTGAAGGAAAATAAAACACGACGGTAAGAAAATGCCACGTGCATTTAGTAAATTAAGTGACCCTAGAAAAGCATCTAAAAATTGAAATTAATAACAGACCCGCAGTATTATCTGTATTTGCATGTGTACTGCAGTGCTCAGCTGCACTGTGCTTGCCATGGTTCAAACCTAAGAGAGATCCTGTCATATTGTCTATCAGAGAATGAAAGGCTGCCTTTTTAATTGCCAGCAAGTTTTCCCAAAGCCAATAACATGAAGGGACTGAAATCATCCTGTTAGAAGGCCACTCTGTACTGGCTACAGGAGCTGAGTATGTGCAGTATCCCAGATAGCAGATTCAGCATCTTGTAAGATCAGGCTGTCCGTGGTGCAGCCCCATCTCCAAGTCCATTGCTCTAACCCCTTGGAACACTGCTTCTCCTGAGGAAAATAAAATCAATACATAAATACAAAGAAGAAAGATAAAGTTTCCCAAAGTAAATTTCCTAAGTACTCTTATCACCTGATGTTGTTTCATATACAGAGTGGCCTGTTAGACTTAAAACTGCCTTACTGTCCCCTTCATTCTGTTTAAAAACTGTTTGGAAGGAAAATGGAAGAAAGATCCTAACAAGAAAATAGCTGTACTGTGGATCACAGGGCATTTCTAATGGAACTAGTTCCCAATGCAATAGAAAAACCTGCCCCCCTAAATTGATACGGTGCAGAGTTAGCATGTGGAGCTAAGTCTTACTGTCTTGCCTGTGACTTCCTTTAGTTTTAGGATGACCCTATGTCCTGGATTGGCCAGGACAGTCCTGGATTTTGGAGGCTGTCTCAGCATCCCCATCTTGGAGAAAATTGAAGCAAAAGTCCCGAATTGGCACAAACCCACCTGCACGTGCCGAGCTACTGACTCAGGAGCCAGGCACATGTGGGCAGACTCATGCCAATCTTGGACTTTTGCTTCAATTTTCTCCAGCAAGCCCAGCTGGGCTGCAAGTGGAGCCACTTGCACAGCGGAGTTGGCGGGCAGGACCGTGCAGATGCACGCATGCGTGGCCCTGCTTCTGGGAGCCGTGGGGTGTGCGTGCACGTGTGTGTGTACGTATGCATTCACGCATGTGCACTGTCATCCTCCAGCACCCCGCCATCCCAGATTTCCCTCAAATTATTATGGTCACTTTATTTAGTTTAAGGGCCCAGGCAGAGAGATATGCAATTCAAACAGCTGTTTGCAAGGAGAGGACTGCACCAGAAATAACTCTGCCTAAGAAAAAGACTCTGGGCTAAATTAAGACCAGGCTGGGATAAATTTAAACCCACTGGGTAAATAGGTTCCCTTGATTTTAAAGGCCTTGAACCTCCTTGTGGCAGGGGTAAAGCTGTACTTCTAATACAATTCAAACCATTTCTGGACAACAGCACAGATATTCCCTGTTGTGGATCAACAAGGAATGCAATACCTCTATATTAGCAGAGCTGTTTCCCTGCATTCACACAACCTGCTGGGAGGGGGCCCAACTGCATATGATCGTGAATCTGCTACTCAAGCATTCAACCAGATGCTCCCTCCCCACCACCCTGAGTCCTCAGGGGAGTCGAGCAGTCATACCGAAAGCACCGGAGACGGAGTGACTGAGCAAATTTTCCAGCTCGATAGTCCTCTCCATCCATCATGGAGGGGACAGTTTCGGTGTCTTGCACAAGAATAGCCATTTCACTGTCACGCTTTCCCAGCAAGCTGCGGTCATTGATGTTAGCGGAGCCTTTAACGGGAAAATAATACAACAACTATAACACTATAGATAAATTCCCACTTTCCCAAGAAATGTAACTTCCTTGAATAGAGTTTTGCTTATCACCCATGAGATTTGCCTGCTCCTTGTTTGCAGGGTTTTGGTCTTTTCATGATGTCCCGAGATTAGAGGGAAAGATCTGTGTACGCTTGTGTGTACGTGTAGGGGTGTCACTACATCTCTTTTCTCCAACCTCACATTCTTCTGTGCATTTCCTTTCGCTGCCACTCTTCTGCCTGACCACCTTCTACCATCCCACTGTGTGGTCCCTACTGCCACCTTCTTTCCTGTATATATAAATGCACTTGACAAGCTCAGCTGTGTGGAATTAGCCCACCACAGTCTGTGGACCCCGATCTGCTAGTGCATGAGATAAAATACAGTGGGAGTTGGAGGGTAACAATCTCATCCTGGGCAGTAGCTGGGAGAGAGCAGGGTTAATTACTTCTGCTCATTCCTGAAATAGGAGAAGATCAATGTTAATGCCAAGTGAACATTATCCATTTTATTTTTTGTTAGCGAAACAACTGAGGTTACTAAGGACCAGAACTTTCTGAGATGAAGATTTGTTACAACAGATCTTCCCTCAAAGGCACTTCTGATAAAAGAGTCAGAGACCCAAAAAGAGCTGAGATCAGGTTGAAGGGGAAAACAGCCTCATGTTTCATAAACTGCAATGCATGAAACAAGTCTATTTTGAATCCAAAATAAAAGTTTTCTAAGCATTCCCCAGCTATTTTGCCAATGAAAGGATAGCCATTTAATGCTCTCTGTATTAATATGTTAAATGACACAAACTGGCTTGTTTTATAGCATTTGGTGGGTTGTTGCCACTGTATTAAAAAACTAGGGGGGGAAAATTCACTTTTATTTGAGCCCGACACTAAGGCAGAATCAGTGTTAAGTAAGTTTCACAGCAGAGGCCACTTAGAATGAATATTTCTGTCAAAATTAAAAAGGTAAAAGAAAAACACCTTTCTGAGGAAGAAAGCAATAACTTCTGAGTCATGCTGCATGAAGGGAAGTGGAGGACTCCAGTGGCTAACAACTAGTATGTAAGGCTTCCAAAACTCCCAGGAGTCACATTTTCTGTTCTGTGTATGGAGAGTTGTGTGTGCAAATCACCAATTATTGCTAATGCCATGAAAACGCCCCCTGCAGGGACTTACTGACCATTTTGACCAAGAGGGACATTTGTTCTTTTTCTCTCCCATCTGCAGTGGCAGGAGCATAAAAACATCTTGTACAAAAACATCAGAAATGCCTTTCCCATCAGGTGAACTTTCCCTATATAGAGCATTTCACCTTTTAAAAAAAATGTTCTGAGTGCAGTTCATACTTGACCACAGAGGAAAATTCTATTATTTGGCTACAGAATGGGACTGGAAGGGAGTAGCAGAAATTTCTGCCGGGTGCCCAACACTGTATTTAACCCCCTTCGTGGGGTTAAATATCTAATGCTACAGACAAATGTGCTTTTTTTAATTACTTTACAGGAGGAGAAGGAGCTGCTTCTGGGAAGAACACATCAGCTGTTATGTCTGTATGCTCCTGTAACTATGCAAATCTGCTAATCACTGTCATTTTAACCCTGTCCTAACTACCTGACCATGGGTTAGGCATTACCCAGGCCCCTCTCCAGTGCTCCTTTTGAAGTTGAACTACTGTATCTTGCATTTAGTAGTCCTTGGATACAGTGCAATGCGGTGTGAAGCTTTCTGTCTCATTAGGAGAAGGGTTCTAGCTTGAACCCTGACACCTGCTCCTGTCCAGGGCAGCAGTCATCTCAGTAAGCAACATGCTCTCTAGCTTGTGCTGATCCTCCCAGCCCCAGATATCTCCTGCTCTTTGCTGCTCAATGAGCCATCTTGAGCCGGCTTGGAAAGGGGACTAAGCTGTGGCATAGTTGGAGAGATTCATAGTAGGTTCAAACTCCTTTGGGTAAGGGGACCTAGGACCTGGCTCTCCTGCTTCCTAGGTGAATGGTCTAACCACTCAGCTATCAGGACTAAAATGCAGAAAGGTCCTCTTCCTCATCCTCCTTGCACACCTCTGCCACGGGATTTTGTGACTTGCATATATACACTGGGTAAATCACCAAGCCAGAGAGCACTAATGCGGGTGCAGCAGAATCAGTCCTGTATTATAAACTTTAGCTCTTCTTTATATGAGAAACAGTGGGATTCTCAAAAGGATGGCTAAGTAGTGGAACCCACCCTGTGCTGGTCTCAAGCTAAGGCTGCATCCCAAACTATGACTTTGAAGGAAGCTAATATTGTTTTGATTTATTTTTTAAAGACCTAACTGTTCCTCTCCACGGAAATCTTTAGTAAAAGGCGAAAGATTTATGTGATCTGAATTAAATTACTTCAGGGCCAAGACTATACACTGATCTAGCGGAGTGAAAAGGGCTTTTCTACCCCGCAAGAAACAGGTAAATCTAGCTCAAACTCTGCCATTGCATTCTGCTGTACAAATCATGGCCAATGGGATTAAGTTTTAATTTATGGTCTCACAATATACATGTAGTAACAGAGACAGATGGTATCGTATCTATTACTGGTTGTAACATATTTTCCCAGTTCCTAGGGAGGGGAGTTGATAACTGGTGCATATTGCTCAAATCTTCCAAGATTTGCAGCACATTCTGTTCTTTAAAGAGCAGATGACAAGTCTCACAAATTTAGCAGAGTTTGATGTAGGACAGATGGACAGAGGTCCCTGCTGAGGAACAAACTTAACTGCCACAGGAAAGTTCAGGACTAAAATTCCTTTATAAGTTAATCAACAGACTTTAGGATCTTTCCTCCCTTTTTGTTAACTGATTAACAAATTTACTTAGTTCCCATTCCAATGAATTACTAGGTGGGAGAGTGGGGGTGGAGAGGGAGGAGTTAGCAAATAAAATGGAAGATAAGCTGTCATAGCAAGTAAAGAACCACCTGAATTTTAAACACAGCAGAAAATCTTCGGGCATGGTTTAAGGCTGATTAATCAAGAAGTGCAATTACTCCTAACTTACTCACCGATTATGACAGTGTTGTCATCGGCTATTAGCAATTTGCTGTGAACATAGATCAATTCGGTGACAAGTTTTCCTTCTAATTCAGCGTATGTTCGAAGCCCACAGAATGATATGTAGTTTATCCACTTATCCCCCCCAACTGCAGAATAAAGGCGGCATGGGGGTGGAGGGAGGAAGAGCAGGTGGGGAAAGAGAAACAGTTGTTAATAATATGAAGCCAAGGACAAACAACACACTTCCTTTTCAAAACATTTTTAAACAATAAGGTAGTTTACACAGTTCTTAAAAATAGACGTGGCTTTGTTATGGTTTCTCTGTGTCCCTCTGACCCCTTCAGACAGCTTAAGTGACTATCCATGATACCCCTCAATTAAGACCAAAATCTGCCTATCGCTATATGCCAATAGAAGCTAATGTTTGAGCATCTCTGGGTTAGGCAGCTGTTTTCTCTAGCTGAGCTTGGGAAGAAACTGAAGCAGGTTTTCTGGCATTATATACTATGGAAAGTGCATTCTATTTTAAATGAGCCATACTTTAGATTTACTCAAAGAGATTAATAATGAGTTATGCATAAGGTCTGCCAGGTATATTTCTGGTACATGTTTTTTTGTGGTCCTTTGGTTTATATCCAAAAAACTAAAATATGCAAATTGGTTGTGAGAAAGCATGTGTGACAGATGTTGTGGTAGCCACATGGTTTTATCTCCACTGGGTGCCAAACAATAACATAGCTAAAAACAAACCCGACTCCAGAGCAAACAGACACAGGACTCAGTAAGCTCCAGGGATGGGATGGGACCACATGCAGAAATTCCTAGCTGATCTCCCCTATGCTACTACACTACACGGACTGCTGCACATCTCCCCTAATTCCCCAGCTTTGCACTGCACTACCCAACAATAGGACCCATGGTGCCACAGCAGTGACAAATGCACTAGGGTTCTTGCCCAGGAGGAGGGCACAGATTGAATCTTACTGCCTGTTTCTGTTTCAGCAGAGATGCAGATGTTTGGCTAGCACGATTCCTTTACGATGAAGGTGCTTGAAGGTTTTCTTGACGTCATTGCAGTATTCTGAGTTATTGACGCTTATACAATTCAGCAATTGGATGAGCTAATTTATGCTTTGTAGCTCATCAATTACAATTTCATGTCCTACCACTTAACACAGCAAACAGGAGGGAAACAAAGCACTTACTTTCTGTTTTCAACTGCCCCAGAATAGAACGATCTCCCCTGCACATGGTCCTGAAAAGAATTAAGGCAGAAATTAAAATACAAGTGTTCTGACGCAACAACATATAAATAGGTTTGTGAAGTTAGTAGCAACCTAAATTAGGTACGAATTACACTGTAAGTATGATAAAAATGTGTATTTATATTCTGACATACAAAGAACTAGAACTCTTGGTTCCTCAGTGATACCTTTTATTAGACCAACTGATATTTCCAGAATAAATTTCTTAAATAAATGTTAAGATGTGTAGGACACATAGGCTAGGGACAAGTTACACATAAACTGATTTAAGTAATCAGAAACTGGTTAAAACCTGTAACAGAACAGAAGTTCAGTGCACATAAACCGCTTTCAAAATGGCCAAAACTGGTTTAAGATAAACCTGGTTGAATGTAGTATCAGATTTAACTGATGTAGGTCAAACTGGTTTATGGAATTTCTGTCCCAGACCCCTTCCTGGTTTAAGTTAAGTCAATCCCCCAGCATCCCAGATGCTTTGTGGCTCTGGGCTGTGCCGTCTGCTCCAGCGGAGCAGGGCTGGCCCCAGCCCTCTCCTCCCTAGCTGGACCCCTATCATTGCTCCGGCTGGCCGGGAAGGCAGTGGAGATGGGAAAACCCTGCTCTGGAGTGCCCCCCACCCTCAGAAGGAGTCGGGGTACGGCCAGACACCGTAGCCTGAGTGGAAAGGGGGGGGGACAAGCACAATCTAAGAAGTGGAGGGTTTGCTCACAGAGCCCACAACTGAGACCCCCCGCCGGTGGCTTTTTTCATCAGCTATACTCTATATAGCCGGTGAAAAAAGCCACCAAGAGCTTCCTGCAGCTGGTTTCTGCCCCCACCACCCCACAGTGGGGCCCAGCGCTGTGCCCTCCCAGCCCTGATCTCTAAGGCAGCGCTGCACAGAATCACCCCCGGCCCCACAGTGGGGGAGGAGGAGGGGAAGGAGGAGGAGGGGAGAGCCCTGCCTGCCGCAGCAGCTATGTGACAGCCTGGCTCGGCTCGGCTCGGGTGCGGGGAGCTGGGAGCAATCCAGGCACACAGTCCCTGTGGCCCCAGCCCGAGCCACAGCTGGATGGAAAGGGCCCTGTCCCTGTGGCCCGGCCCAGCCCAGCCCCTCTGTGCAAGCCCACAGCAATGTGAGCGGGTTGGCCTGGCTTAGCCCCACAGCCCCAGCCCCTGGCCACTCCTTGCCTTGATCCTTCTGCTCTGTAAAGCCCCAGTTGCAGAATATTGTCAATCTAGAGCTAGGTGCACAGGTTGACTTTTGGGACACTAAAGGCTGAAGGTCCTCTATTACAGGGAGCAGGCCATGGAGCGAGGCTACAATGTTTGCAGCCCTGTGGTACGATGGGAAGAGACCTTAATCCCTCTGGTGCACAAGAGTTGTGGAAGGGGTCCCAAGGAACGGGAAGCAGCCCATTGTCACTGCTTCCTTCCTCTTCAGCCTTTCTCCACCAGGGTTGAGCTGGGAATGCTTCTCTTGTCTGGATCAGGAGAGAAGGGCATTAAGCCCTAAGGTCAGCCTGGATCTCTGAGCACGCATAAGTCATGTTTAAAAAATAAATAAGTAAATGAGGGAGGCTTTCTAAAGGCAAAAAGGGTAGTTACATGCTTGATTCCCACTGGCTTCCCCTCAAAGCAAAGTACCTGCCATGGAAAACTCCCCTTGAGGCAGCACAGAGCATCAGGCTGGAAGCTCTGAGGACTGCCTTAGTCTTTAATTCCAGCAAAATGAATGAACTAAGTACCATGCCTTCCCCTTAGTTATGGGAGGGTTTTCAGTGAAGACCTCCTGCCTAGCACACAAAAATAAATTAATGTTATGTATGCATATATTTACGGGCCTGATTTAGGTGGCTGTGTTCAAAAGCCGAGTCCATTTATCTCCAGCTGATCCACAGATCTAAGACACCTGTCAGCTTCTGGTGACAAAGCCCAATGAAACGCCCAAACTAAAGCCATGCGGGAACTGATGTGGCTGAGGAAACAATAAAACTCTAGGCTCCTTCCGCTGGTTGTGCACCAGGGAAGTCACATACACATCAAATAGAGTGAACATTTATTGTGATGTTGGAACTCAAACAAATGCATGTGGTGCTACATTCATTTGTTGCTGAACAAAGAGAGTTGCCCATAATTTTAACTCTATTAAACCTCCAAGAAAGGTCAAAAACAAAAACATTGTCAGGCTTCTAAAAGGATACTAGAAGCAGCAAGGAAAAACCATGCATAAATTGTGAAATGCACTGTGATGGCATCCAAATTGCTGAAGGAAAGGTGAACATTTCAAGCATAATTAAAACCTGGGTCCATGCACTTGAAGGAAAAACAAAATCTTATTTGGGAGCCTTCTAACAGAAAACTGCTAATCATATACTGATTCATTCTTTTATGCAATCGAAATGTTATTCAGAAGAGAGCTGTAAGGTCATGGTGAGGTTGCCCATGTATATTTAAATATTTACCTGCACAAGGCATTATTATTGACTAAATTTTCCCTTTGCCATAATCCACTAACATAGGTATTGATTAAAACTGCTGAAACTATTATTAATTCCAGCTGCTATGCATAGCAAGTAAGAAAACAGACAGCACTAACATTCTGCCTCACTTCCAAAGATCCAAGATGACAGCAAGCCTTGCTTTCCAATTTTAAATACACTGGCTGCCCACATTTCTAGAAAATGCCACATGTGACAATTCAACTGGCTCTTAAGGTTGGATAATGGGTGCAGCATGCATTTTACTAAGTATCTTAGAGTCTGATAATAACAATACAAAACCATTTTGAGAGTTTAGTGCAAATTGTATAAACAGACGGTTTTCTCATCCTTTTCTACATTTTATTTATTCGTTAACACAGCACCCAGCACAAGGAAGCCTTGATCCTGATTGGGGTCTGTGGTCACTACCATAATACATACAAAAATTATCAGCATTATCAGAACCACACAGACCGCTGTCAAGATCTCACACAGCCTTGTCCTGCTGTGAGCTATGTGCATTACCTGTAGTTGAAATGCATTATGGCCTGCAGTGCATTCCCTCCTCCAGTTAAAATATCTCCTTCGAATCCAGGCAGCAGCGGGATCACCACGTATACTCGGAACCGCTTGTTCTCCCTGCAACAAACACAACGATAATTTTCCTGGGGTTGCAAAGGCAGCTTCTTTTCAACATAACTTACTAGCTCCAGTTCTTCCTAAGGCTAAGCTTCTAGGCTAAGGACAGAAATTACACATAAACTGGTTTAAATAATCAGAAACTTGTTTAAATCTGTAACACAGGAATGGGGAACCTCTGGGCAGCTGGTTGGCCACCCGGGCCCCCCTTCCCCCCCCCGCCACTGCCCGCATGGCTTGTGCTGGTCCCCATGGAGACCTCAGCCGCGCCAGCAGCGTGTGCAGCAGAGTAGCGCAGGGGGCTTCTCTGGAGCTGCTGGGAACATGGGACGGGGGCAGCTTGCTCCGGAGCCGTGAGCTGTAGCCTGCACGCTCCAGGAAGGGGCATGCATGCAGGGTATCGTGGCTCTGTCCTGGTTCCAGACAGGCTGTCACTGCTGCAAGGAGCCAGGGCAGAGCCGCGATCCCTTGCAAGTGTGCCTGTGCCCGGACTGTGTAGGCTACAGATCGCAGCTTTGCCCTGGCTCCGGAGCAAGCTGCCCCCGTCTGACTTTCCCAGCAACTCTGGAGCAGCCCACTGCGCTGCTCTGCCGCATGTGCTGCCAGCGCAGCTGAGGCTGGGTTCTCCATGAAGACTGGCACAAGCCATGCGGGCAGGGGCAGCTGGGAAATGAAGTCCCAGGCCAACTGGATCTGGCCCATGCGCTGGATGTTCCCCATCCCTGCTGTAACAAACAAAAGTTCAGTGCACATAAACCAGTTTTAAAATGGCTGAAACTAGTTTAAGATAAGCCTGGTTGAATGTAGTATCAGACTTAACTGGCTGAGGTCAAACTGGTTTATGGAACTTCTGTCCCAGACCCCTTCCTGGTTTAAGTTAATTAGTGTGCCCCAGCATGCTTTTCAGCCCTGGGCAGAGAGCAGGGCTGGCTATGCCCCTCTCCTCCCTAGCCAGAGCTCCATCACTGCTCCAGCTGGCTGAGAAGGGGGTGGCGGACTGCAGCCAGGTCTGCCTGGCAGGGGCACAGAGCTCCTGCCACACGTTCCCCCTGCCCCCCTCACCACTTGCTGCTCAAGCAGGGATCCCTCTCCTATGGTACAGATGCCAGCCAGCATCCGGCCATCCCCACCTGCCCAGTGCTAGCTAATTCTGAGAGGTGTCTATGCGTGTGTGTCTCCAACTTCCCTGGAATGGAGGCAGACGGGACAGTGTCTGCTTAGGGCTTTCTGGAACTAATCAGCAGGTCAGCTGGGAAATGTCTGACAGCCAGCCAGGGCTGCAGCTCTACCTCTCTTTTTCCTGAGCAAGAAGCCAGTGGCTTGCAAATGCCTACACCCTGCAGGTATGAAGAGCTTGAACTAATGAGAGATGCTTTTGTTTTATTTTGTAATCGACAAGCAGCGCTTGATGGGCTGATAAGCTTTGTGTTCTGATAAGCTCTCTGCTGGCTTGCTTCAAAGCCATCAGAGTGCAAGCATCTCCCAACCTGAAACCCTTATTAAAATGAAGTTTCAGTATGCAGTGATTAATGTTGGTGATTGTTTCTATGCTTCCTGGTCCTATAATCTGCCAGTGTTCAACAGGGGACAGAGAGAGGTGTGAGAAATGACCTGGTTTGCAATGAATGGGACCTGTCAGTGCTGTCAGTTTGAGATTTAGGCAAATACGAAGCACTAGCTAGCAGGATAATAAGAAGGTGGCAGCAGATCTGTCTGGAACAAACAAGTTCACACTGCCCTCATTAATTCTTTGGGAAGTGGTTGTTCATACCCCAAAGAACAAGACAGCAGAGGCACTTCAAAGAGGCTTTGGTGCCACTCACTTCCTGTCCACAGCTGCAGACAGTAGGAAGATCAAGGAGAGGGAGATTGAAATGCTCATCCAGTATCATCAACAGATGTGTGCACTCCACACAAGCAGCTCCTCCTTCCCCCAACCCCTCCCCCTCCCTTTGCCTCAGAGAGCTAGCCAGGGGCTGGGGGCTGGCAAGACTCCTCACCCCTTGAGCAGCGAGTGGAGAAAAGCCTGTCAAGAGCTTCTTCCCCCTTCTCCTCCAAGCACAGCTCACCTGGAGACTGTGCAAGCCAGGGTGGGGGTTTAAACCCCTCTCTAATCATAGCGGCCTGCTAGGGCCTGGCCATGCCCCCCCAGCTTAGCACTGTGGAAGGGAAGGGAGGGCTGCTCTTGAGCCCCCCCCAACTTTTAGCCTGAGCCACTGCAGGTATGTGCCTGCATTTCCTGAATCAAAAGTGAATGTCTATCCACTTGTTCAATCTATGCAGGTTAGACTAACCTGTAAAGATTAAATCAATTCAGGCTCAGGCTTATTGAATATCTGCACTTAGCCCTATTGTATTAACTAGTTACCAGTGTATGGACTCTCTCATACAGTTTTTTGCACTAAACTCTTACTACATTTTGAAGGGAGTTAAGGGTCAAAAGTATTTCCTGCTTCAGTCTTCTGTGGTCACATTCAATGCTAGAACATGTGCTTAAACACTTATGCACAGAATGTGCAACTCACTAAGAACTGAAAATCACAAGAACAGGTATAGAATAAAAACCAGTTAGGACTAAAGTGTTAGAAATGCAAAGATGGGGTAAATATCCTGAATGTTGTGTCTACTGTTATAGTAATAAGTGAATTTCAGGGCCTTGATTTAAACTGACAGCACAGCCTTACTGAACATGGCAAACAACACACATCATCCCTGTAAAATTATTATAAGCCTAACAGCAAAATAAGATCTACAGTTTCAGAATTTTTCCTGCCACCTGTGGTTTCCAAGCAGCAGAAAACACCGGGGAGAAGAAGTGGATAGAATACTCAGAGCACTTTGAAAGGCCTTGAAATACAGGTCTTCCCTGAATATTTAGAAAGGCAAATAGTTGGCCTCATACATCATAACTTACAAAGACAGCTTCATTTCGAAGTACCCTTAACTATGATCTGACCCTATATTACTAATGACTTGCTAAATCAACTGTTTTTTTTAAACACATTTTTGCCCTTTCTTTGCTGACATGAAGATGCCTATCTTGAAGGCCAGCCAATTTCTGCTGTGATTTATTTCTAGAGGTGTCTCTGTAATCCAAAACAACAGTAGGTTGCCAAAAAAATAGTTGAGTTGATTACAATTCAAATGTTCTCTGCCTTTCCAGATATTTTTAGAGGGCGTATTTTTCCTACCCTGAACGTTATAGTGGGTGATTTCTGATAAGCTGAACTGCTATCAAAGCCCAAATTATTTTGTTATTATTACCTTCATTTTTTTTTTTAGTTATTTTCATATATGTTATCTCTGTGAAGGGAGCTCTACGTAAGGGACTTATCACCAGGTGGCAAACAGTTTAATGTGGGGAAAACCATTTCAAAACCGAAAAGAATATCCAGGGGACCAGTTTACAAATGTTGCTAACAGCCTTCCTTCCTTCCTGGGAAAACTTAAAAGGTCTGCACCTTTACAGGAGAGGCACAAATACCAGAGAAGGGGTTCACCCTTGTTTTGAAGTACATGTATCAACACAACAGTTTCCTCTGTTAACGGAAGAGCTTGTGTTGGCCCTGACAACTTCCAGTTGATCTGGATTGTTAATGGAGTTATTTAGGTATTTAAAAGTTCATTATGTGCTTTAAGTGCCTTGCTGAATCATAGCTTAAATAAGCACAAACTATTCAATAATCTCAGTGTTTCCATTATACAAGGTGTCCTATAGTAAATACAGGGAAGTGAAAAAGATATATTGAAGATATTGAGGAAACTGTGTGTTTATCCTAGATTAAGAGAGCAAGTATTTAAAGGTTTCTATCACAGTCAAAATGTTAACTTCATGTTCCTTTCAAAATAATTTCAGAAGTGGTTAAAATATCTTCACACATCAAACAGTTATAACGGCAGAGATTTTGAAATAAAAAAACCCAGTAATTCTTGCTATTTGTGAACCTATGTTGCATTTTGAAGGGAAAAATATCAAGACACTAGTTTTCATACAAAATATGACTTGCATATTGTAAAACCTATTAAAAGTAAGCCCATGGCACAGAGGCTTATATTAGATGATATTACTTATATTTGTAGAAAGCATGTTTTGCTACAGAATAAAGAGGCGTGTAGGCTTGATTCAGAATACTCCATAAATGTCAACATGTCAGTCTGCTTTTCCTATGAAATTTGGAAGGTGTCAATTCCATATGGAAAAATAGGGTCTGATAACCATATTCTTCAGCTTAGCTAATGCCAGCCTCTTTATGGCAATGCATTGTGGGTCTCAGCCTGGGCTTGACTGTCCACTCTGGTGTCCTCAACCAGATCTGGCTCCTGACACCATGTCATCTGGCCTGTCAGGCCCTCCAGAGGTGTGAAAATTTGGTGGTGGCACTGCTTCCCTGCTGCCAAATTTCAGGTCCTGTGGGGTGCCCCACACACTGGATAGCATGTAGGGCCAGGCAGAGGTGGCAGAGGGCCCCAGGGCCTGATCCTGCTTTAAAGGACCAGCCAAGGCCACACGGGACCTGATCCAGGTGTTTGGGGCCTCATCTGACCCACCAATTTTGGACAGTGTGAGGCTATTGAAATCAATGGCGTTATACCAGCATAAGACTGAAGTAACAAAGAGGCTCGGTATTGGAAAATGGGTCATTGGAGAATTTGTGGTTAAGTCGTACCTGCCTTTTTTGTAGCTGTTTAAATTACAAGCATGCAGCAATCCAGTAAAATGTGCTACAGCAGGCTGTTACAACCAGGGACACACCGATGCAGATAGGTTAGATCCAAGTAGGAAATCCACAATGGAGTATCTCTGTAGTCTAACAACACTTTGTTGATACTGTATTTACTCGAATCCAAGATGATCCTGAATTTAAGACAATCCCCCAATAATTAGATTCTAGACATAGAAAATGTATACATTTGTTAAAATTTTCCATATCTAGACTCTAATTATAGAAGGGTTGCCTTTAACTCACCCCTACCCCACACTGCTGCAGGAGGGCAGGCAGCAGGGTGGGCAGGTGGGGAGGCCAAGCTGCTGGTTCCCTGCTTGTGCCTACCCCCTGCCACCACTGCCCCCTCCTGTTCCCTGCCTCTGCTCCCCACTTTCCCCTCTCCCTCAGCCTCTCTGCTCTCTCCCACCCCTCTTATTTCCCCTAGAACCTCTCTGCTCCCCCCAGCCCAACCCAGCCCCTGGAACAGCTGTGCAAGCTGCATGCGGTTGCTATGGGTCTGGGCTGGGTCCACGCTCAGTGCCCCAGGCTGCAGCATGCACAGAGCCTGTTGGTGCGGAGTAAGGGGAGAGGGGGAAAGGGAGAGGGGCAGGCAGGGGAGTAGAGGCTGCATGGGGGCAAGAGATGGGGGGAAAGAAACTTTAGGGGGGAGAGCGTGAGGTGCAGAGGCCATGGGGGGGGTGGGGCAGGCATCAGCTATGACTATGGCCATGAACCTGGGTAGAGGCTGGAGCCTGAGCCATAGCAGCTGCCTGCCCTGTGCCACCCTGTCACCCCCCTACCCCACTCAGTTTTAAGACAAGGGTTTTTTTCCCCCTCCCCCCATGTTAAATGCAGGGAAAAACCTTGTCTTTGAATTAAATCAATACACTACTCTGGGACCACAAAGTGACATGAAGCCCAAGTGCCCCAGCAAGACATGCAGATTACAGTGAAAAAAATGACACACCAAAGCACCATCTCTTAAATGCCGAGTGCCATTGGTGAGGCATCTGATAACATTGCCTTGATGTGATGAGCAAAATATTTCTGCCCCCAACAAATACCATATAAAGGGCCTTATTGTTATCACACTGATTTTAACCCAGTGCAACTCCTTTCACTTCACTGCATTACACCTGATTTATTCTGGCATGAGACAGTTGCCCCGCAGGTTTTCTCCACAGCTTGGTATGGTTAAGTGTTGTCCCTATCCCCATCTTGTTCTGCTTGCTGCCTTTACATAGAAAAATGGTGCTCATGTTGAAACAAACCAGGTCCCCTACTGCTTGTCCTTCCCTTTGTGTCTCTGAACACGCTGAACCAAATTCTGCTTTCACACTGGTTTGCTGTCTATTTATAGACACCTGATTTACACCTTCTTTGAAGAAAAATCAGACCCTTTCTCTCGTGAGTGTCTGTTCTATACCTGCCAATACTTCAACACTGAAGTGCTCAAAAGAGTGAAATCTTAATGACTCCAGCAGGGTTCCCAGGTCCTGAGAATCAGCCCATGCATTCCTATAGACCAGTGGTTTTCAACCTGTGATCCGTGGACCCCTGGAGGTCTGCAGACTATGTCTAAGGGGTCTGCAAAAGATGATTACGATAAATCAAAAGTATGTGAATACCCACATTTACAATTCAAAGGGGTCTGCACCTCCATTCAACATTTTTTAGGGGTCTACAATTAATAAAAGGTTGAAAACCACTGCTATAGACAATAGGAATATACAGAAAAAACCATTGCCAAATAAATCAAACTCATCCTTGTGCACACCAAAAAGCACAAGTGATCAGTGAAAGTGGGGAGGAAAGTGAGGAATGTTGGCCACAAACTCAATCTGGCAAGAATGAAGTACAGATAAATGTGTCTTAAAGATACCAAAAAAAACAAACCTAAGTGACGGTGTTTAGGGTCACAGAAAAGACAAAGTGCTTCATCGGGTGCTAGATGCTCCAGTTATCAGTACTGTCACCAAGTCACTTGTTCTCAAACGATAGCAGTAACTAAAAATGATCTGGATGCCATCCATCCATGCAGTAATTATCAAACTACTTAAAATACTAGAGTGCCTCTGAAATGATGTAGGGATTGTAAAATATCCCCCAGCTCTTTTAAGGAAAGGTTTGGAAGTGAAATAATTCTCTAAACCTGAAACTTGGACAAATTCCCTACTATACAATAGCTTTTGCTTTCCATATTGAAAGGCAATTTCCTGTACAAGAAATTTACTCTTTAATAAACAACATATCAATGATAAGAAATGATATAATTTTAAGTGCTTAAACTAAACTGAGTGTAAAATTCAAGGTTGGTTAGAATCATGAAGAAGAGTTAATACAGTATCAAAGGACTGTTTCCCAGTGAACGTTATAGTTACAGAGCCAAATTCTCCTGTCAGCTACACCAGCAAAATGCAGAACAATACCACAGACTTCAAAGGAATTATTTCAGATTTACACTGATGTAACAGAACAGAATTTGACCTAGATGCACTCTGGATTCCTTTTATCATATTTTCTTTCATCATCCTTGTAACAACATCTTGATGGTACCTTTAATAACAAAATTACCTGTGGGCTTTAAGGATCCTCTGAGCAATTGCATCTCCAATCTTGTTCGATACAACTCTGTCATCAGCACAGCTAATAAAAAATTGGTTCTACGGGAAAAGTGAGCAAAAAAGAATCATCACTGCCTTTTTGCCAACGATAAGAAAGGAAGGGTGGTTCAGTACTTGGATCTAGGACTCATGGCCTCTGTATTCACTTCCCCAATCTACTACTGACTTTGTGTGACCTTAGACAAGAATTCGCTTTGTCTCTCTATTCCTCTTAAGTTTCCTACCCTGAAGTGGGGAAAATAACACGTTCCTAACCTCCCAGAGATGATGCAAGGACTAATGCATTCAACCATGGAGAGGCAGTCAGATATTATAACAGTGAAGGCCACGAGTAGGGTCACAGATAGTTAAATAAATGACTTGGAAACCATTTTGCTACAATTCAAAGGGAACTTTTTTTGTGGAACAGCAGAACAAAACTGACACAATATAGCAGGATTACTTAACTTGTACAAAAATCTTCATACCTGCATACTTGATTTTTATTAGGATAAGAAACCTCTCTCCCCCCACTAAACATAGCATCAAAACAGACTACTTCATCAAAATAAACACCATAAGAAATAATAAAATAATTACATTTTGTGGCTTTAGCAAGGTACAATGCATACCCAAGTGAATGACTGCTTCCCAAGCAGGTAACTGTCTTTGGAGAACTCTCTGGGTTCTTGTGGGACTCTGACACATGCAGTGAAATCCTTTCCCGTTGAAGTCAACTAGACTTTTGACACAGACTTCAACTAGACCAGGATTTCACCTATGGTCCCTAAAGAAAATAAATCTTCAATCTTACAGGTACAGGAGACTTGTTATACTATATTTTGTGCCAAGAAGCAACTAATGTTATGGCCTGTAGAACATCTTCCGGGGTGGCAATGTATTATTTTAATTAAGAGGCGTCTGTGAGTGTGATAAGGAAATTATTCTTGATTAATCCCTCTCCTTAAAAACTAGTGAAAAAAAGTATCCAAATAATAGCCTGAAAAGGATGTACAGTAAGTGTCTCAGTTAGCCATTTACTTCAAAACGTACAGGTCCATTTATACGCAGGAAAATTATGCAGTTTCTCAGATCCATGAAGTGCATCGCATCACACATTGATGGGAGACCGTGCCTAGGGTTGGAGATGAAGCAGGGAACACAGAGAGACACAAAGAAGCTGAAGGAGCACTGCATGGAAGAGGGAAACCGCTAGAGAAGTGGTTCTTAACTGCGGTGCCGCAGCACGCTTTGGGCCCTGCCCAGTGCACCTCTGTTTCCAGGAGGCAAGTGACAGGCTTGGGAAGCAGCTTTGAAAGGAGGGGGTTTTCTTGCCTGCAGTAGGTTATTTCCAAGCAGCTTTGAAAGGAGGGGGTTTTCTTGCCTATAGTAGGTTATTTCCCCCCCATTCTGCTGCAGCCACTTCCCAGTCGGGCCCCCACCCAAACCTCCTGGAAAAATGGGATGTCGCTAAATTCAGAAAACTTATGGAGGGGTGCCTTGAGCCTAAACAGTTCAAGAACCACCGCACTAGAGGTTCTGGAAAGCGGGGTAGTAACAGATGGGGCTTGTACTTCCTTCTACATTCAGAATTCAGTGCTGGTATATTATTTACAGGACTGATCCAAAGGCCATTGCTGTCAATGGAAACAATCCCAAGGCCTTATTGGATTCCAGATAAGGCTTCATATATGCCACATGTTTCTCAACTAACCGACATCATCCCACTGAAGGGCAAAGGCTACTCTTAGCAAGACAAAAATGCAGCCTGCTCTTGACTTGCCTCAAGAGTACTTACTTCTATATATATGAAATGTTTGCTGTTTTCTATCACGTTAACATAGGCAGCGTGGATGGATTCTTCATGATACTTAATGCCCGCTGACCAATCAGCAGCAGAACGGAGCACCTGGAAAGTGAAAAATTAGCAACTTTAGTTCTGTCCCAAAAGCACAAAAACACTCTTTACCAATTTTACAGAAAATGCTCCTGACTGCTTAGTTTATTTGTCAAGGTTTCCCTGTCTTATGTAATACATGATATTTGTTGCTTACATGCTAAATATTGGGAGCTGCAGCTTAAGACTGTTAAAAAATGAAAACATTTTGATCCATTACTAAATTAATCCCATTGTATGCGAGAATAGCTTCACTGAAATCAATGGAATTACAGCTGGATGATAACTGGAGTCATACCACGATGTGTCAGTCTGCTTCTGCAAAAGTATAATTCTTAGTTTTGTAATGTTAAATTGGTCTAAAATATTTTAAGTTTGATCTTATACTAATTGAAGTTGAAGGGGAAAAAACTCACTGATTTCAGCAGTGCAAGATTAGACCTTTATTTCTGACCTGTAGGCTTGTGCACCTTCCATTTTAATGATGAGGTCCCAATTGAAATGAATAAGTTTAGTCTAAGATACCATGGCATCTTATAGAGGCTGAGGCCACAAAGTTTTAAACCAGGAATAACAGTCTTTGTCCTAGGCATATATTCCCATTTTTTAAATGAAAAATTTTTCCTAAAAATGTCACTTTTCTGATTTTTTTAAATTTAAAATTACAGCATCTCAAATTCACAAGAAAATGATTTTGGACTGCAAATCCCAAGAATACCACAGAGTGCCACAACGTAGCGCCAAAGCTTTAAGACAAAGATAACCAAACTAGCACAGGAAGGAATCTCTGCTCACATTCTCTCCCAGGCTGAATTTTTTTCACTGCTGAAATTCTTGCCTGTGCTCAGATAGTTGCTTGCCTCTGTAACCATCAGCTCCTACTCACTGACCTTCCCCCAGTGTCATCTCATGTCTATTCCTATACTTTGTGTCAAAAAACAAGCAAAGCTACAACATTTTGCTGGATGGCAATGTATTATTTTAATTAAATGGTGTCTGTGTGTGACCTCAGGGAGGATAATTACTCATGATTAATCCCACGCTTTAAGCGCTACCAAGCAAAATGCATCCAAACAATAGCTTGAAAATAAGCATCTCCATTCAGCCATTTATTGCAACATTTACAGGTCCATTCATACATGGGTGAATTATTTAAGTCCTAAGACTCTTCTAAGTATGTGCATCACTTTGTACATCTCCCATTCCTCTCATGCGGCACCCTTCTAAGGATTCTCCAATGGATTTTTCATATTTCTCCACGTTCAAGTCAAGACCGGTCCTCATCTTGCTGTTCTCTTCCTACACCGCTGACCTCACCTCTCTCCACATGTCCTCCCACCCTCTATTTTCTACCAAAGTCCTTCCAGTCCAACTTCATCATCTCCTCATCCACATTACACTCTTGTTTGGAGCAGTCTTTCAATCTATATGGTAATCATCTTCCTCTCTGACGAGAAGGACTGAACTAGGGACCTCCAGAGCTAACGCACTTGTTTCTACAGTTAAAAGATGAAGAGTAAAGGGCAAGTTCTCAATTACTGTTAAATTATTGTAGTTCAACTGTGAAATTATCATCGTTCAGTTGGCTTCAGTAGAACAATGGCAATTTATGCCAGCTAAGGATCAGCAGCTCTGCAGCTGAGTGCTATACCCAACCCAAATCTTTCAAGCTTCAGGCCCAACAGGGGAAAAAGCATGGCATATAGCCAGTGGGTCATATATTTGTTTTCAACAAGTGAAGGTCATCCCAAGCATACAAGATGCAGAGCAGGTCAAAACCTGGGGAAATCTCCACTTATATGAAAACTGCTGTTTTGCCCATTACTGGGGATTGACCTGGAAAACTCCAGAGTTGAGAGACTGAGTCACAACAGCTGGAGCTGTGGAGCCAGCCCCTGTAGCCAAGAGATGCAACCAGACTTGCATCCTTCATGGATGAAATGCCACAGTGGACACGCACCCCTCACTGACCAATGGGGTATGTGGACATGAACTAAGTGATTCTAGTGGCAGAGCTCAACTTATTCCTGGAAGCCCACCTCCAGCTACCTCATCTGCAGGCTGTTCACCTCCAGGACTACTGTTTACAAAACAAGTGCTTAACATTTGCATGGTGCTTCACATGTTTAAAGTGCAGGTAAACTAAATCTCTGCCAACTGCCAACCCCTTATAGAAAGCTGAGCACCATGACCCTTGTCTGAAATCCAGGGGAAGCAGTCAAGAGTAATTTTCTTACAGCACTCAGCAGCACCATGCAGGACTGAGCTCCCAAATAACTCTTCACAATTCCCTTGGGGTAAAGATATCATCATCCCCTCAACATTTAGGAAGACAAAATCACTTGTTGTAAACAGAAACTAACAGTTTAATTTTTCTTAAACACTCAGCTTGGTCAGCATACAGTTTTGTGACTCCTTACTAGGTCTGTGGCGAGTAGGCAGCTATTCGATCTGGCTTCAGATCTGGCTGCTTCGGATGCCAGGGATCCGATCCAGAGCTCCGGACTGGGTTTCCACTTCTATCTGGCGGAAGCAGCTCCGAAGCTGCCTTGGAGATCCGGCCATAGAGCATAATGGGGAAATCAATGAAATAGCTATAACTTTGTGGTTTTTTGTCTGATTTGGATTAACTTGCAGGGGTGGTAGCCTCTGCTGAGAGCATGAAGCTTCAAGCTTCAAGAAGATTGGTGCAGGGGTTTGGGGGGAACTGCACCCCAAATTCATGAAAGCAAAACTCATGTCACGTGTATGTGTTACACCACATTGGGGTGGAAACTGCAGGGGTGGTAGCCCCTGGTGAGGCCACAAAGCCTGCCAAGTTTCAAGTTGAAAGTTGCAGGAGTTTGGGGGGAACTGCACCTCAAGCTGCTGACAGGCAAAACTTGTCACACTGATGACCCTGTGTGTGTTAAGGTGCAGCAGGCTGAAAACTGCAGGGGCGGTAGCCCCTGCTGCGGCCACGAAGCCTGCTAGCTGTTGAGATCGGTGCAGGGCTTCTGGGTTCTGGGGCCCTGCACCTCTAGCTGTTGACAGGCAAAAGTCTTGGTATTGGTGCTTTTGCAACTGACTCTCTCCGTCTTGGGGCAGTTGATTGTCTGTATTGATTATTTCCTCTCTTTAGTCTCTGGTTTTGTATGTGTTAATTAATGCTAATTAACTGGCTACATTAACTAGCAACTATGTATTGAGCTGGTCCCTGAATGAATCATGATTGATTGGTAACTGGTAACACAGTAGCTTAGCAGAAGGGCCTGCAGTAGTCCCCCCCCCCAGACAGAGACAGTCAGTTGCACAAGCACCCATGTCATGAGTTTTGCCTGTCAGCAGCTAGGGGTGCAGGGCCCCAGAACCCTTGCACCGATCTCCTTGACAGTTGGCAGGCTTCATGGCTGCAGCAGGGGCTACCATCCCTGCAGCTTTCACCTTGCTACGCCTTAACACACACAGTGTCACCCATGTCACGAGTTTTGCTTGTCCACAGTTTGAGGTGCAGTTTCCCCCAAGCTCCTGCACTTATCTCCTTGAGACTTGGCAGGCTTTGTGGCCTCAGCAGGAGCCACCACCCCTGCAGTTTTCAACCTGCTGCACCTTAACGCACACAGGGTCATTTGTGTCACAAGTTTTGCCTGTCCGCATCTTGAGGTGCAGTTCCCCCCAAACCCCTGCACTGATCTTGTTGAAACTTGTCAGGGTTTGTGGCCTCACCAGGGGCTACCACTCCTGCAGTTTTCACCCCCCTGTGGTATAACACATAGACTCGACATGAGATTCGCTTTCACAAATTTGGGGTGCAGTTGCCCCTGAACCCCTGCACCGATCTTCATGAAACTTGGCAGAATCTATGCTCTCAGAAGAGGCTACAATCCCTGCACATTTCATTCAAATCAGACAAAAAACAACAAAGTTATAGATATTTCATTGATTTCCCATTATATCCTATGGCCGGATCTCTGAAGCGGCTCTGAAGCTTTTCCGAACTGCTTCGGAAGCTCTGAACCACTTTGGAAAGCCTGATAAAGCTAGCGCATCAATTCGGACATGCTGCTTCAGATGCCAAAGTGTCCGAAGCTTCTCCGGATCTGAAGATGGTCCGAAGCCTTGCACAGCCCTACTCCTCACCTACAGCGGGCTGCCTTGTGCGTTCGACTCTGCAAGAACCTCTCTGCAGGCTGTAACGCTAAAGCAAAGAGCTACGACTCCTTTCCAAGAGCTCTTGACAGTTGCAGGAGCCAGTTGCTAAGTCTGGGAAACAGTTTACAGTGATAGGATTTTCAGTCTGCGGTGCCTGGACCTCTCACAGCTCTCTCTGGCCAGTTGGCTGACACCACTTGCTAATGACTTTGTGCTGTGGCAGGTGTGAAATTGCACACTCACCTAGAATGGGCTCAGCTTGCAGAGGAAATATTTTGCCAAGTTGGATGTGTCTTATTCTGTGATTTATCTTCCATTCTAGTCACAGGCTCCATTTTCTACTCATCCATAAATAATGATGTACAAATCACCCATAACTGGTTTAATTAAAACAAGATGAACCAAGAATATGCTCTCCACGTCCTCACACTCGCATGCATTAATAAACATCTGAATATACAAGCGTGCAGGAATTCAAGGGTTAGCAGGTTAGTCTATGAAATATTAACTGGCATGTTGTGATGTATATTCCTGATGCATACTAAACTAAGACTTTCTGCCAGCAGAGGAGGGCTAAGCAATTCCTTTGACATCTCAGGGACTGACAGAAATGATGGTTTTTCACATGACTGGGCCCCTGAAGTGCTCTACAGCCATGTACTGACAGAAGAGCATGGATGCAGAGCGCTTTAAAAATGCCCAATTGCATGACAATCTGAATTCTCATTACATGAGGATTCAGATGAAGGTGGCCCAAATCAGAGCACCTTCAATGTCTGTAAGCACGTGCCGTGAGCAGTTCCTAGTACTTTCTGCAACTGGGAGGGGGAAAAGGGAGGGAGGGAGTTCAGTCTGGGGTTTGCCCAGCCTATGCTGAAGGG